TCCGTGGCAGATGCCAGGGTGGCCTGGAGCAGGTTAGTTGCCTCGGAAGGTGTCCGATCATACCTGTGGGCCCGTCTGAGGCTGGCTTGCCTCTCCCAAGCCGGGAGCCGAGCCAAGCCACGTCAAGGAAGCGGTGGCTGGGGGTGAAACCCACCCTTCTTTGAGACGTTTGCTGTGTTGAACCGGGAGCTTTTGTGGGGGTTGAGTCCTCCCTGCCCCCCCACCGCGCCCCTCCCTCTGTCCTCTGCAGGAACCCCCCGCCTGCTTCCCTGTGTCCAGCAAGGGCGAAGAGCAGATACTACTCCCAGGACGTCCGTGAGATTCTGCGCAGGTTTGCGGTGGAGGTGACGACCCATCCCAGCAAGAAGCAGAGGGTAGGGTGTGCCCTGTGCGTGCCCCCCCGCTCCCCCCCGGGGACCCTCTTCATGCAAAGCCCCCTCTTGTTTCGCCTGGCAGGGCTCGGTCATGGAAGGGGGGGTGCCGAGGGCAAGGCGTTCTCGTGGGTAAAGTTAACATCGGAGCTGCTTGGACCAAACACCTGGAAGGGTTTTGTTTTGTTTTGCCATTTCGGAAACCTCTGGGTGCAGAAGAAATATCTGCGTAGGCAAACGTTTCTGGGGGCAGCAAGCAGCCTTCTCCAAAGTAAGAAGAAACAAAACCTGCCCCCCTCTAAGGTGCTGCCAGGATCTTTGAGGACTGACCCAGCCCTCAACTCTTTCAGCCTCTTTCCGCTCCGTCCCCCCCCATGGGTTTGCTCCAAGGTCTGCCGTGGGGGGGGACACACCCGTGGCCCTCTTGCCCACGACCGGACGGGCAGGAGGTGGGCTGGTTGGGCTGTCCAGTGTCCACGGGAGGGAAACCCTGTGTCCATCTTGCCTGGATATCTGGGAAGGTGCTTGCAGGTTTATCCGTTCCCCCTCTGCCAAGCAGGCTGTGGGTCTACAGGAACTCCCAAGGGCCATCTTAACAGTTCTGGGACAACCCCCGGCCATCAGGACCCCCACCCCTCACAGGAGATCCAGAATTTCCTCAGCTGTGGAAAGCCAACAGGCCGAGCCTCCCTTGAGGACCGTCCTTCCCCACTAAGTGGAGGAGAAAGAACAATGGCTTGGAGCCTCTTTCCTTTCTCCTCCTTGTGTGTGTGTGTGTGAGGGGGGGAGGCAAGAGAAGGTCCTGGGGTTCTCCAGAAAGAAGAGACACCCACCAGGGCATTCCAGGTGGCCCTCATGTTTTGCCCCAATGGGGAGCAGCAAAGCCACAAGTAACAGGCTCCTCTGTGACAAGTTAAGCCTTTTCTTCTCGTCTTCTCCCTCTTCCTCCTCCTTTCTTGTAGCCAAAGCATAACAAAAGTTATCCTTCAGAAGCAAGAGCACAAGCAACAGTAAAGGCTCTCAGACTTGCAGTGTGTGGCTACTGTTGAAAAGCAGCTTGAAAGAACATCCTTTTGTCGGGCAAAATCCAAAGAAACGAGACAAAGACAAAAATGTGGCCCCTTAAAGACTGACTGCTATATTTTAATGTGACCTTCCAGGGACTCGTCCACTTTGTCAGACATATGGACCTTCCAGGGACACGTCCACTTTGTCAGACATATGGAATAAAAATGGAACACTGGATGAAGTACCAATACCTTTTAAATTTTTCAAGCTTGGTGTCATTTTCCTATCAATCCTAGGGCCTTTTTTAAAAAAGTAACCTTAATAGCACTTGGGCTTTTTTGTCACTGTATCAAGCATTATCTATGCATTTTATATGCATCTTGCCTCTTTCTCTTCCGCCGCCCATTTGAAGCACAGAGGCAGTGAATTGCTTTCCCAGCGTTGGGAATGGGAAGGGAGGAATATATAAAAATAACTGCCCGGGCTCTGAAGCCTCGTGTTTGTCCATTGCAGGAAGGCTTGGCTTGCGAGACCAGCCTGGAGCCTCACCGCATCTACAACTGGTTCGCCAACTATCGCCGCCGCCAGGGTCGGAAACCCAAAAGCCGGGAGCCGGGCTTCCCTCTGGGCTTTGAGGACAAGGCGGCCTCCCCGAGGGGATGTCCAGGGGCAAGGATTTGGCAGGATGGACCAGCCACAGGTCAGTGCCCCCCCCGGCTCATGCTCCCCCCCCCTCTCGGCCACCTATTGACTGATGCTGCTGGTAAAGGGAGCCAAACCTTCCTAGAAAACCGTTGCTCTTCGCCTGCTTTTTCCCACCTGAGTTTCTTGTTTGCCTTATTCCCCTCCCTCCCACTTTCCACACAGAGGACTAGTAACTTGCCTTGACATGGAATGATTTCTCAGATCTCTTCACATCAAAGTATGAGGTTTGTCTGTATTGTGGGGGGGGACAGAGTGTTACCCTATTAGTTCAAACGTTGCACCAAACCCATCACAGAGTCCTATGTTACCGTAACGACTACATTTTATTTGAAGTTAGGTTTCATGCCCTGCAGCCCACTTCGTAAGTGAAGGGAGGAGTCTCAGGGGTAGTTTCTGGGACCTGTGTTCCTGTTCCCCATGGAACTCTTTGGGGACTTCAGCCAAGGTTGAGTAGCAGACGGACAGGTGAATCCCCGGGGATCCGGCCCCTCCTCCTGCTTTCTAAGTGACTCGTACTTCGTCTGCACTGCAGTTCTTAATGTCTGACTTCCTCTTCCGGTCTCTCCTGAACGGTTTAAGCAGAAACTCTGGCTTTAAACCCTTGGAGGGTGTGGGGGGGGAAGAGGACCATTGACTTGTGTAACTGACCTTACTAGTGCCAAGACGTTTCTTCTAACCAGCCCCTTTGAAAAGTTGTGACCGGTGGGGCTCGTAGTGAATGAAGTTGGCATTTCTACCTCTTCCTTGTCTTCCCTTCGGTCCCGATGCTCAGGGCATCTTTCAGGATTATAATCCAGGACCGCTTGGACCCAGCAAAGTGTCTTTGCCTTTAGAGTCTCACAAGGCTCTCTGAACTCAGCTGCCCCTTGGCAAATGCTGTCTTCTCTTCGGAAGAGGCCGCCCTGAGTCTGCCTGATCCCGAAGATGGGCCGGCCGGGGAGGTCCTCCCACGTGTCCCACTGTTCATGATGGGGAGACGTAGGGGAGGGGCTTGTCAGCCCCACATGTGCTTCGTAGGGCCTTTTGGAGTCGAGGATTGTGGCCTGCACAGGTTTTAAGATAATGGCTCACATGTTTCAGTTTTCATACCTGGTGTTTTGAACTGTTTGATTTCATAATTCATTTAAACATCTTATGCTTTAAAATTCTAGGTGGGTCTGTAACTCTCCCTCCTTATTTCCTGTGATATAGAGTGGGCTATGAATGAATGAATGACACCAGCAGCCAGGGAGGCCAGCTCTGGGGCTTGGTCAAGAAAGCTTGGGCTTTTCCCCCTTCTGACCTGGCTCTGAAGGGGATCTCCTAAGAGGATGAAGCCTGCATTTCCTCTTCACGAACACGTCCCTTGCAGCCTCTGGGCCCACCTTTCTCATCTCCTTTCAGGACAAGGGGAGAGGCCCCTCCCCACCTGCAAGAAGGAGCAGAGAGGCCACGGCCACCTTTCGGAAGGGGGCTTCCTGCGGCCGACCAGGTGAGGGCTCTGGGTGTCTCTCTTCCCCCCCTTTCTCCCCAGCACCCGCGGCCCCCAGGCTGGGTCTTTGCAGGCCTGCACTCTTTGCGTGAGCCGGGCTGACCAGACGTACTCTGGGATGTCCTTCTTGCTTGTCCCTCCCCGGCTGGCTCTTCTCGGCCCCTCCTTTTTGCTTTCCCCTAAAAGTGTCAGGGACGTGACTTTGTACCTTCTGCTGCCTCTTTACAGCCTTGGGGAAAGCGAAGCGCTGGGAGCCCCCGGCCCGAGGGCCGTTTCTGTGGGGCCTCTTGAGACCATCTGGGAGTCGGCAGCTCCCGACGCTGGCCAAGCGGAGGCAAAGCCAGAGGCTGACCCCAACGCCGTGCGGGACCCGGCCGGCCCTTGGCCTGCCAGTCTTGGGGCGCAGAAACCCCTCCGGCCCCCCTCCGGTTCCTCCGCAACAGGCCCCTCCTCCCAGAGCCCCCCCCACGGTCCTTGGACGCGCCCGGGCACCGCTCACAAGGGGATCCAGTGCACGCTTTGGAGACGGGCCGCTGCCTGCCGGTGCCCCTGCTCCTGCTCCCGAGGAAGCCTCAACGCGAGGGAAGGCAAGATGGGGGCAAAGGGGACTGTGGGGCCAAGGGAGGAGGAAAGGCACCCTCTGATTGGTACACCCCCACCCCACCCACCCACCGAGCACCAGCCCCGCCAAGCTCCCCTGGCAGTGAGCGGGAGCCCTAGGAGGTCCTGGCAGAGGACCCCGCCTTGGCCGGCAGG